TGCGGCTCTCTGATTGGCCCAAAACGACGTCACGCCATTGGCTAACTTTCGATCCTCTTTTTCTAGTCAGTTTGTACCAAAAAGCTTTCGACTCCTTTTTTCATGTCGTTTTGAACTAAAAAGCTTTCGACTCTACTTTTTCGTCGTTTTGAACGAAAAAGTGTTGGATGCTTCTTTTTCGACCGTTTTCTATCACTCATTTACCTTCATATCGCCGAAAAAGCGTTCGATCCCCTTTTTCTGGTCATTTTGTACCATGTACCATTTTTCGAAGAATTTTGTAAAAAAAAAAGTGTTCGATCCTATTTTCAAGCGAAAAGTGTCCCTTTTCAACCGTTTTGCCTCTCGGCATAGGGGGGAATGAATTTTTTGTCTATTTCACCTCACCCGTGGATCTGCTTTGATCAGGGACGAATAACGAGAGTGTAAGTTGGTTTGTACAAGAGAGAAAATCTAATTAGTAATTCGTTAATCTGGTTTAATCCAGACGAGTGATTGATTGAGTGAGTGAGTGACTATGTAAACGAACGTATGGATAAACGAATGAATGAATGTATGTCACGCTGACACACCACAAGCCGTGAGTGTTTATATAGCGATTTGTCCTTATTAGACAGGGGATATTGGGGACATTCCTTTATTTTGAAATGTAAGATTTAGACTTTTTCCCTCTTTTTTGAGATTTTGGGTGGCCCTGAAAAGGGCCGTTTTTTTGTGTATTCTAAATAAATCGCTAGATTTATTTGGATGCAGCCTTCTCGGATTTCTTGGGTAAGAGAACGGCTTGGATGTTGGGGAGGACACCACCTTGAGCGATGGTTACTCCGGACAACAGCTTGTTCAATTCCTCGTCATTTCGGATAGCCAACTGTAAATGTCTTGGAATGATTCTGGATTTCTTGTTGTCACGGGCAGCGTTACCAGCCAACTCGAGAACTTCAGCAGCCAAATATTCCAAAACAGCGGCTAAGTAGACTGGGGCACCAGCTCCGACTCGCTCGGCATAGTTTCCCTTTCTCAACAGACGGTGGATACGACCGACAGGGAACTGTAATCCAGCCCGGGATGATCGGGTCTTGCTCTTTCCCTTTACTTTTCCTCCTTTTCCTCGTCCAGACATGATGTGAATTTAGTTAGTGAGACGGTGTCGTCGTGCGAAAGTCTAGTAACTGAATGAAGCGAACGCGACGACTAAAAACACTATTTATACTCGAAAATGGAGTCGAAAACTACGGTGCTCACTATCAAGTCCGCGCTATTTCACGAGAAAAGCTTTCGATCCTATTTTTCGACTCCATTTTCGAGTATAAAAGGAAAATTTCGCGCGTGTTCACTACCTACCTACCGTGTTCACTACTCACTTGACTGTTAGACACCGCACTGTCCACATCACGTTAGTACTCTAAATTCAACATGCCGCCAAAGGTTTCTGCCAAAGGGGCTAAGAAAGCCGGAAAAGCAAAGGCCGCACGTAGCGGAGACAAGAAGAAGAAACGACGACGAAAGGAGTCTTACAGCATCTACATCTACAAAGTGCTGAAACAAGTCCACCCCGACACTGGAGTCAGCAGCAAAGCTATGTCTATCATGAACAGTTTCGTCAACGACATTTTCGAGAGAATCGCTGCCGAAGCTTCAAGACTCGCTCACTACAACAAAAGATCGACCATCACCAGCAGGGAAATCCAAACTGCCGTTCGACTTCTGTTACCCGGTGAGCTCGCCAAGCACGCCGTTTCCGAAGGAACAAAGGCCGTCACCAAATACACCAGCTCCAAATAAGCTGTGTGTCGAACTTTAGTTCAAAACTAAAAAAAACAACGGCCCTTTTCAGGGCCACCTAAAATCTCCCAAAAAGAGTGAAAACAGTCTTTTCATACAACTAAATCAAAGCGAAAAATAGAAAAAATGTCCTCCAGCCCCCTACCCCCAAACTGTCAACAAACACCCTTGTCTATAGAGAAAAATTGAAAAGATGTATAGCTATAGTTATAGCGTTTGAAAATGAGTTTTGTGTATGTAGAGGCTATTCAGTATACTGTTATCACAAATCACACCTTACACCCTACCGATCAACCCTAAACCCCATGAAATTTACAAATTTTTGCCCCACTGCCCCAAAATCGTTTTTCTATCACTGAATTCTGTTGTGTAGGCTACTATTGAATTTTCTGCAGTCGTACGACTGTTTCAAGTTAAGAAATGTGAGGGCCTCTCATAGGTCCGCGCTCGCGCCATACGTTTACAATGGCAAGCGATAAAGCTAGTGAAGTGGGTCAAATTAAAACCTTTCCCCTTGCCTTATTTTGAAAATTTAACCAATTTTGACTATTGGGAAAGATGTCTTAGGCTCAAAACCCCATTTCAACGCGAAAGAAGGATTTTGAACGTATCAGGTATTTGGTCAAATTCGTAAAATCAAATGTGAGGGCCTCTCATAGGTCCGCGCGCGGCATTCATATAGTCAGGCTAAAAATTTTCGAATCATTATTCAGTTTACGTTACAAGTGTAAGGTACGAATATCAAACTGCTACCATGTCTGGACGAGGAAAGGGAGGAAAAGGTTTAGGAAAAGGAGGAGCCAAGCGTCACAGGAAAGTTCTCCGTGATAACATCCAAGGTATTACCAAGCCAGCTATTAGACGTCTAGCTCGACGAGGTGGTGTCAAACGTATCTCCGGCCTTATCTACGAAGAAACCAGAGGTGTATTGAAAGTCTTCTTAGAAAACGTCATTCGAGATGCTGTCACCTACACTGAACATGCCAAGAGGAAGACCGTCACTGCCATGGATGTCGTCTATGCTTTGAAGAGACAAGGCCGAACCCTCTACGGATTCGGAGGTTAAGCTTTTGCTTACCAGTCAGTCTCCCGAAGAGCACTCAAACGGCCCTTTTCAGGGCCACCCAAATTCTCACAAGAGAGTAAATTACAGTCTTATTTCAAAATACCATCCAGTAATGAAATTAACTACAAAATACATAGTACCCGCACACATCATGCCCCACCCCATTTTTTTTGTCTTCACCCTTCAAAGAAGCATAACACCCATATAAATCGTATAGACTATAGTATAAGCCCTTGTCGTGTGTGACCTAACTAAAACTATAGCTATATAGTAGATATAGTAGAGAGAGAGAGAGAGAGACCTGAGTGGCCTACAACTAACTACTCTTTATACACTGACTCGCTCGCTCACTCACTCATCCATCCATTCATACAGTGCAGTGGTTGCTTTGGCCAATTTTCTCATAGTAGGGTTTTTTGGTTTGTTTATTGTTTCATTGCAAGTTTCTCAACTTAATGTGGATTGTTAATGGAAACTGACTTTTTTCACTCTTTTAAGAGAATTTGGATGGCCCTGAAAAGGGCCGTTTAGTTGGAGGTTTTTCGGCCAAGTCTAAGCTGAAGATGTTGAACTTAGGCCTTTTTAGCAGCGGTCTTTTTTTTTGGTGAAGCCTTTTTGGGTTTGACAGTTTTAACCTTTTTGGGCGTTTTCACCTTCTTGGGAGCAGCTTTTTTAGGTTTGGCAGCTGTCTTCTTGGCACCGGCGACTTTGGTCTTTTTGGGTGTAGCTGTCTTCTTGGTGGTAGTTTTCTTGGCTTTTGGCTTCTTTGGTGTAGAGGCTTTCTTGGCAGCAGGCTTCTTGGCGGCGACTTTTTTCACCTTGCTGGGTTTCTCGCTTTTGCTTTCACCGAGTTTGAAGGAACCGGCAGCCCCAGTGCCTTTCGACTGCTTCAGGGTACCAGCTTTGACGCCGTTTTTCAAAGCGTTCTTTATTCTGGAGTTAACTGCTTTCAGGTCTGTGCCGACTTTGTAGTTTGCCATGACGTACTTCAAAATGGCTTGTCTGGAGGAGCCGCCCCTTTCCTTCAAGGAAGCGACTGCAGCCTTGATCATATCTACATATTTCGGGTGAGCAGCTGGCACCTTAGGCTTGGCTGAGGTCTTCTTCTTGGGTGATTTGTGAACGGGAGCTACGGCTGCGTCAGTCATCTTGGATTGCTTCTTGCGAACGTCGTTCTTCTTCTGTGTACGAGAGGAAAATGAATAGACTAAACGCGTGTATTGTGTAGACCCATACAAGTAAAGCGCGGACTTGATAGTGAGCACGCCTTAATTTTACCTGGTTTTGACTTGAGATAAATCTTGTGTTTGTAATTTCATGACAAATACGTATTTCAAGGGTCATTTTTGCTAATTTTCCCAAAAATTAGACTTAACCTGGTCAAAGAAACATTTGTCTACTATACCATTCTCATACTGTGAGGAAATTGGCAATATTTGAACTCAAATCACGGTTTTTTAGAGCCCGACTTTTCCTTTTCGTCCGTTTCAGTAGTGAAAAAGACCCAACTTTCACTCCAGTTCCGTAACACAGGGCAGGTAAGTGACTTTGGGAGGGCTAAATAGGTGCAAATATCAGTCCACTAGACTTTTTCATAAGTTTGAGCAATCTCCCACCTTTTGGGACTTTCTTATAAGGAAATCATAGAGGGCATTGGCGCTCAAAATACACCACGGTGAAAATGTATGGTTTAAAGTTCATTAACGTTCTGTATTGAGATTGGCGTGAAAAAGAGTGAATAAAGTGAAAGAAATTAGGAAAAACTGAGAAATGAAGAAAATCGCGTTTTGTCTCTTACCTTTGAACTTGGACACATACATACTTACCATATCAAAATCCCATGACAAGTGTACGAAATTTTAACAACACAACACTTTATAAAACATTCTGTCAGGGTTTGAGTAGATCTACTCAAAAATTAAACCCCACCCCACCGTATTGTGATCCCATATTCTCGCCTAGTGTTTCTAAGTAAATTGATTAGACCTGTAGGATAATCCGGTCATTGGCGGTAATCAACATAGACGTTCGGTCGGTGTATTTTGCACATGGCTTCACGGTTAAGTTAGGGCTAGGTTTCATTCATTCATTCATTCATTCATTCATTTTACTCATTCCATACCTCAATATAGGAGAATCAATTATTATAAACGTGGTCAATGGTGTGTTTTTTACACTCAAGGTTTAGACTAGACCAGGGCTTTTTCGTCAGCTTTTTACTACGAGCTGTTCTATTTTGAAGCGAAATCAGGGGAAATGGCAAGAAAGAGGGACAGGAGGGGATTTTGTACTTCGTACTTTGTTTCAAGATAAAGACTTTTTTCACTCTTTTTTGAGATTTTGGATGGCCCTGAAAAGGGCCGTTTTTTTGTTGATTGCAAGAACTGCACTTTTTAAGCACGTTCGCCTCGGATTCTTCGGGCCAATTGAATGTCCTTGGGCATAATGGTCACTCTCTTGGCGTGGATGGCACACAAGTTGGTATCTTCGAAAAGACCGACCAAATAAGCCTCACTGGCTTCTTGGAGAGCCATGACAGCTGAGCTCTGGAATCGAAGATCAGTCTTGAAGTCTTGAGCGATTTCTCTCACCAATCGTTGGAAGGGAAGTTTTCGGATCAACAATTCGGTGCTCTTCTGGTAACGACGGATTTCTCTCAGAGCCACGGTTCCGGGTCGGTATCTGTGAGGTTTCTTTACACCGCCGGTAGCTGGGGCGCTCTTTCGGGCAGCCTTGGTGGCCAGCTGTTTTCTTGGGGCCTTGCCTCCAGTGGATTTACGGGCAGTCTGCTTCGTACGGGCCATTTTCTTCTTTTAGCTTCTAATACGTCTGCTCAGCTCGACAGTCAAATAGTAGAATGAACCCAATACCACTCAAACAAACACACACATAAATTTCCCCTCTCTCTCTTTCTTTAGTTTGCTTCACGCGCCGTCAAAGCCCATTGGTTGCTTTTAACTCAATGCGGCTCTCTGATTGGCCCAAAACGACGTCACGCCATTGGCTAACTTTCGATCCTCTTTTTCTAGTCAGTTTGTACCAAAAAGCTTTCGACTCCTTTTTTCATGTCGTTTTGAACTAAAAAGCTTTCGACTCTACTTTTTCGTCGTTTTGAACGAAAAAGTGTTGGATGCTTCTTTTTCGACCGTTTTCTATCACTCATTTACCTTCATATCGCCGAAAAAGCGTTCGATCCCCTTTTTCTGGTCATTTTGTACCATGTACCATTT